ATGTAAAATAAACAATGAGATACTCCTTTACATGTATTAAACTGGCAAAAATTAGGAAGCTGGATAATGCCAAGTGTTAACAGGGATGTGGGGCCATCAGAATACTTACACACTGCTAATGGGATTGTAGACTAGTGTAGAAATTCTGCAGAGGACTCTAGTGGTAAGGGCAGATAGATCTATGTATACTTTCTGACCTAGCCAGCCAAATCCATTTCTGCATATGTATATCACAAAATGTGTTAGTCTGTTCTCATGCTGCTGATAAAGATATACCCAAGACTGGATAATTTATAAAGAAAATAAATTTAATGGATTCACACTTCCACATGGCTGGGGAGGCCTCACAATCATGGCGGGAGGTGAAGGAGGAGCAAAGGTGTGTCTTACATGGTAGCAGGCAAGAGAACATGTGCAAGGGAACTGCCCTTTATGAAACCATCAGATCTCGTGAGACTTATTCACTGTCACAAGAACATGGAAAAACCTTATTCACTATCATGAGAGTATGGGAAAACCTGCCCTCATGATTCAATTACCTCCCATTGGGTGCCTCCCATGACACATGGCGATTATGGAAACTACAATTCAAGATGAGATTTGGGTGGGGACACAGCCAAACCATATCACAAAAAAATTATCCAAGAGTTTCTAAGGGCCCTATAGGAATAGGGTGATGAGACATCCTAACTTGCCTGGGATAGTCATAGTGTACAACTGCTGTCCTAGTGTAATTATTAATATCACCCTTCCATTCTCAAAAATGTTCTCCCTGTGATTAAGGCTGGTCATCACAGGATATTCTTGGTGATGGGGAACTAGAGGCAATTTGGGGAGTGGAGAGGCAAAATGCATTCGATTCACACTGTTCAGCAGAAAGCTGGATGAAGAAAGAAATAGGTTGAGGTAGATAACAATGACATTTGCACATAGTTAAGGCCCATACTTATATAAAACTGTGTGCTTTATAAGAATACTTATTAACAAAAGGACATAGTTGGAATGATTACCTTGGGGCAGTAGAGGAATTAGAGTGGGATAAAGGAAAAATAAATAAAATGAGAGAGATCTTGTTGGACCAAAGATTATAATAAACCATTGAGAAGGGTGATTAACTCAGCTTCAGTACCTGAATTCAAAAAGTAAGGGTTCCACCAAAATAGATGAAAGAAGATAATTAAAAAAAAATTTTTTTTAAACAAACTCTGGCTTCTCTTGTGAAGTTGGTATTTATATATTTATTTATTCTCTTTGATGTTCCAAAGATATTTAAGGCTGTTTAATAAGTATCTTAAATAGAAAAATATAAATATAAAAATATTTGAATGAGGAAGCAGAACAGATTATATATAGAAATAAGAAAGATAAGGCAAAGCCAGCACAAGGTTAACATCTAAAATTCACACCAAAAAGTCCTGTCAATCAGCTATAAATGGGTCTCAGGTTTGGTGCTAAGTTGTCCAGCAGGAAATGCAAAGAAGGTGATGCCCTCATGTCCATGATCCTCGTTACTTGCAATAAGAGTCACCACAAAACCATTCTAAGTACTAGAAAGCAGTGTGCATTTCCCATTCTGAGACCAGAGAGAAATTTTTCCCTTGGGCTGTTATAAGGAGGGCACTGTGTAATGAAATAGCGACCTAGAAAACTAATTTCTACAGAATGACTCATTCCAAAGCAATATGGAAAACCAAAATGTTAATTTATTCTAATAGAGTTTGGGCTCCTTGAATTTCCACAAAATAACCAACTTTCAGTTTCAAATTAGTTCAGGAAACATTCCTAGGTGTGCAATAAAGCTATGACCCACAGAGATTGGACTCTTCCATTTGACTGGGCCAGAAATTCCTGATCATAGTCATAATGAATGAAAAAAAGAAGAAGGATTATATTTCCAGATTCCAAGAGTGCCACTGTCTTTATACTCCTGAGGAGGTAGGTGGTAGTTAAGGAGAGAATGTCTCCTCCTTTCTTCCTGAAACAATTTCAGTAGCCATAACTGACTAAAAAACAAACATAGTCATTGATATAGAGATCACAGAAAGTAAATCTACTATGTGAAAACTGGTGTCACCGTAAGAGTAAAACCAGCAAAAAGCGATGCATAATAGAAAAGTTTAGTGGCAGACATCTGCAAAAGGAATCCACCCTGAGAGATTATCTCCAAAGGGACATGTAAGGGGTGTGTGTGTGTGTGTGTGTGTGTGAGAGAGAGAGAGAGAGAGAGAGATTGAGAGAGAAAGCGTGAGTCTGGTATTCTGGTACATTCCAGTTTTGGAGCTAGGGTGCTCATTAAGTTCTTTTGACGGTTGGTTGAAATAATCCCTGAGCATCATTCAATTATATTTGATTTTGTGTTCATCAAGCAACCTCTGCTTATTAATTCAGTTTCCAAGAGCTTGAGAATGGGAAGTGTGATAGATTGATGCCTAAATAGCTGTAACTATTTCCCTTCCTGTATATAGGCCCACATGCAATATGACTTTGCAACTCATCCCATCAGAGGGTAGAAACTATTTATTCACCCTCTTGAACCTGGGCTGGCTTGCAATTTGTTTTGGCCAATAGAATGTGGCGGAAGTGATGGTGTTACCAGAAAGGGTTCCCAATCCAGACTCGTGCAAGAAAGAATTTGAGGTGAGTTCATAAAATGAAAGTAAGTCTATTAGGAAAGAAAAGAATGGCTACTTTATAGGCAGAGCAGTGGCATGGGCTGCTTGACTGAGTAAATTTATGGTTATTTCTTGATTATATGCTAAACAAGGAATGGATTATTCATGAATTTTCCAAGAAAGGGGCAGACAATTCCTGGAAATGAGGGTTTCTCCCCCTTTTAGACTATACAGGGTAACTCAGACATCTCATGGCATTTGTAAACTGTCATGGCATTAATGGGAGTGTCTTTTAGCATGCTAATACATTATAATTAATGTGTAATGATCAGTGAGGATGACCAGAGGTCACTTTCATCCCCATCTTGGTTTTGGTGGGTTTTTGCTGGAATCTTCACCACATCCTGTTTTATCAGCAGGGTCTTTATGACCTGCATTTTGTGGTACCAATCCTGCCAACCTTCTATAGCATCCTTTGACTAAGAATTCCTAACCTCCTGGGAATGAAGCCCAGCAGGTCTCATCCTCACTTTACCTGGCCCTTATTCAAGATGGAGTAACTAACAATAATGTGTCAGTTCTAAGCCTAGGCGTCAAGAGGCCTTGAATGCTTAACTCTCTCTCTCTCTCTCTCTCTCTCTCTCTGAACAACCTGCATAACCACCATGGGGTCATACTCAGGCCAACCTGTTCAGTGATGAGAAATGAGGCCTATTGACTCCTGTTACTCTGATTGATGACCAGGCAACACCAGACACATGTGTGGGGCCTTCTTTGATCAGCCAGCCTGTAGTCCAACCACTGGCTGACCATAAAGGCCTGAGAAAGCCCAGGAGAGATTAACTGAACCTGGCCCAGAATGTCAAAATTTTCCAGCTGATCTTAGATACGTGAGAAAAAAACAAATGATGCCTTGTTTGAAGTCTCTGATTTGCATCCATTGAAGTACAAAAAAAGTCTCTGAGTTTTGCATGGCTGTTACACAGCAAGAGCTAACTGCTATTAGGATGGTATCCTGATGTGAGTGTAATGACTAATAGAAAATTCCGTGCTATTAAAATAAAAACAAAAATATTATAAATTGAAAACAAAAACCTGAGCATTTTAGTATGTGTTTTAGGATCTTATAAGTCAGCTAGCATGAAAGTTTTGGAGAACATGAGTAGCTCTGAAGAGGTGGACAAAGTTAAATTTCTGGCTTTCAAGATGTACGATCAGACCCTAGACAAATGACTTTCAAATCACCCCACCTGGAATTCCCAGCATGAGTATGAGGGGAATGCCATTCAGCTCTATTGTGAATAAAATGTCATAAAATTTAAGTCAACGATTCCCCATTTCCTCTTAGTTTACATGACAGAGGGTTGTTTTCTCTTAGGGTATCTTTAATTACTCCTCCATTGCTTCGTGCCTGCTAGCTGCTGTGAGTTCTCTAACAGTTCCTTTCTTAGAGCTGCATCTCCCACTCTATTGGTCTATGTCTCATCACCTTGCCTCAGGGAAATGAAGACGAGTTATGCACAAAAGTACCTGTCATAAGGGAGGCTGGGGAACAGCAACTTTTAACTGGGTTCTTCCGTGCTTTCTGTGACCAGTTCTGACCTCCTGATATTTTCGTTTGAGTTTTGCCTTCAGTTTTGTTGTGAGGAATTTGTCTGGGCTTAATGCTTGTGGCTGAGGGAAAGGCACAGGTGGGCCTGGTGCCGCTGTCCTGTAAGAAGCCAGCATCTCTTATGCTGTGGCTAAGTCTCATTACGGCCATTGCTGCTGGGCTGGCAGATGATTTGAAAGCAGAATGGAGGCCTCTGGGATTCACTAATGACAGCTGGGGAGTCACGACAGGAGTTTACCGTCTTGGGGCATGATTGTGAAAGTGTGCCTGCCTGTGTCCTGCAAGTAATGACAGATTTCTTTCCTCTCATAAATGCTTAGAACCAGAATTCTTGGGATATCCATACAGGAAAATAAGCAGAATTTAAGATTCAGTTTATAAAATGTATAGAATCCCCAGTGAGAATTCCAAAAGTGGGGAAGGAGAGAGAGAAGGAGAGGAGCAAGGGCTGAAAAGTTACCTATTGGTTACTGTATTCGCTACTTGGGCGATCATTAGAAACCCAAATGTCAGCATCATGCAATATACTCATGTAACAAACCCCCTAAATCTAAAATAGAAAATAAAATTTAAAAAATAAAAATTTAAAAATAAAAAAGCGAAAATAAATTGCTGAAAATTTTATTAGTGTACTTTGTAACCAAAGTTGAACGTTTTATGTATCCAAAATTTTATCATTTCAATAGGTAATGCATTTTAAAATTAAAAATGAAAAAATAAGATCTATAGAAACTTTGGGGATATTTTTGTAACCCCACACTCTTTTTCCTTTTCAGAAATGAAAGAATCAGAGCATTACAACAGAATGAATCCTGGAATGGGAATGGATTTGTGGCACAGTTGGGAAGCATCCTGGCCACGCCATGTTAAAGGTATGCCTTATGGCAAGTTATTTAGCTTTTCTGAGATTTTGTGAAGTGAGAATGGTATTAAATTTGTCACAGGTTTAAGTAATTTAAATGTATGTAATTCCTAGCATGAAACCTGGAGCAACTAACTTGATAAATGCTAGTTCTCTTTTTGCCTTTTCTGACTTTTTGTTTTATTGTTGTTTGCTTGCTTGTAAATATAATTTTTTACTCCGTAAAACAAAGGAAGAGTTTTTAGAAAGCAAGATGGCATTTATAGAAAAATCTTTAAACTTTACTTTTTACTTAATAATTTTCTTTATGTAAATGTGTGCTAAAATAATGGTTCAAATAAAAAAGTACAGAGTTATAGCAATCCATCATTGCTTCAGATATGCCCTTCCTGATCATTCTGCTGCTTGCCTTATTTTAAAAAGCACATACTTTCTTCACCCTTATTTTTAAAAATCACTTGTGCTATTTGCTTCTTATTCTCCTATTAATGTTTTCATGTAGTCAGATTATTCTCTTCCTCAAATCATTAATAAAAACAGACCAGTTAAGTCCCCTGGGCTTGACATGAATCACTCCCTTCTAAAAAAAAAAAAGTCAAACAGCCTTATTTCTTTAATCTATGCAGTCATTTTCTAGGAGAAGCAAAATGCTGGATTATAACCCATTTTGTGTGTTCCTGCATCTATGGAGAGATATTTCATAGTAATAATTATGCCAATCTTTCATAATATTTGGTCAAAGCAGAGTACATTAAGAAAACAGTCAAGAAAGCACTCAAAGTAGAGGAAAGAGAACTTGTCTTGACTGGTCAGTTGCTACATGCTCATCCTTATGTTGGGTTCTTCCAAAATGTTGCCTTGACAAAACACCCTGAGTAAGCCTTTTAATCTTCCATTTTCTGAACATGAAACTAAAGCCCCAACATTTCAAATGACTTGAAATACAGACCATGAATTTGAACAAAGGGCTTCTTGACTTTAAAATCTATGTTCTTATTTCTATTCCTAGTTGCCTCCAAAGCAGTGATTCTTACCCTTGGCTACACATTGGAATCATTTGGGAAGCTGGAAAAAAAAAACAATGCGCAGGACCTGGGCAAGATGGCTGAATAAGAACAGCTCTGGTCTGCAGCTCCCAGCAAGATCAACACAGAAGGTAAGTAATTTCTGCATTTCCAACTGAGGTACCTGGCTTATCTCATTGGGACTGGTTAGACAGTGGGGGCAGCCCACAGAGGGCGAGCAGAAGCAGGGTGGGGTATCACCTTACCCAGGAAGTGAAAGGGGTTGGGGAACTCCTTCCCCTCACTAAGGGAAGCCGTGAAAGACTGTGCCATGATGAATGGTACATTCTGGCCCAGATACTATGCTTTTCCCATAGTCTTTGCAACCTGCAGACCAGAGATTCCCTCGGGTGCCTACACCACCTGGGCCCTGCCTGGGTTTCAAGCACAAAACTGGGTGGCTATTTGGGCAGAAACCGAGCTAGTTGAAGGATGTTTTTCTTATACCTCAGTGGCACCTGGAACACCAGTGAGACAGAAGCGTTTGCTCCCCCGGAAAGGGGGCTGAAGCCAGAGAGCCAAGTGGTCTAACTAAGCAGATCTCATACCCACAAAGCCCAGCAAGCTAATATCCACTGGCTTGAAATTCTCGCTGCCAGCACAGCAGTCTGAAGTCGACCTGGGACACTTGAGCTTAGTAGGGGAAGGGGCATCCACCGTTACTGAGGCTTGAGTACGATTTTCCCCTCACAGTGTAAACAAAGCTGCTGGGAAGTTCGAACTGGGCAGAGCCCACTGCAGCACTGCAAAGCCGCTAGTAGCCACACTCCCTCTCTAGATTCCTCCTCTCTGGGCAGGGCATCTCTGAAAGAAAGGCAGCAGCCCCAGTCAGGGGCTTATAGATAAAATTCCCGTCTACCTGGGACAGAACACCTGGGGGAAGGGGCAGCTATGGGCACAGGTTCAGCAGACTTAAACGTTCCTGCCTGCGGGCTCTGAAGAGAGCAGCGGATCTCCCAGCACAGTGTTCAAGCTCTGCTAAGGGACAGACTGCCTCCTCAAGTGGGTCCCTGAGCCTTGTGCCTCCTGAACGGGAGACATCTCAGCAGGGATTGACAGACACCTCATACAGGGGAGCTCCAGCTGGCATCTGGCAGGTGGCCATTTTGGAAGAAGCTTCCAGAGGAACTGGCAGCAATCTTTGCTGTTCTGCAGCCTCCATTGGTGATACCAGGCAAACAGGGTCTGGAGTGAACTTCTAGCAAACTCCAGCAGACCTGCGGCAGAGGGACTGAATATTAGAAGGAAAACTAATAAACAGAAAGAAATAGCATCAACATCAATAAAAAGGACGTCCACACAAAAACCCCATCTGCAGGTCACCAACATCAAAGACCAAAGGTAGACAAATCCATAAAGATGAGGAAAAACCAGCACAAAAAGGCTGAACATTCCAAAACCAGAACACCTCTCCTCCTCCAAAGGATCACAGCTCCTTGCCAGCAAGGGAACAAAACTGGACGGAGAATGAGTTTGACAAACTGACCGAAGTAGGCTTCAGAAGGTGGGTAATAACAAACTCTTCCAAGCTAAAGGAGCATGTTCTAACCCAATGCAAGGAAGCTAAGAACTTTGAAAACTGTTAGACGAATTGCTAACTAGAATAACCAGTTTAGAGAAGAACATAAATGACCTGATGGAGCTGAAAAACATAACATGAAAACTTTGTGAGGCATACACACATATCAATAGCTGAATCGATCAAGCAGAAGAAAAGATATCAGAGATGGAAGATCAACTTAATCAAATAAAGCATGAAGACAAGATTAGAGATAAAAGAATGAAAAGGAACTAACAAAGCCTCCAAGAAATATGGGACTATGTGAAAAGACCAAACCTACATTTAATTGATGTACCTGAAAGTGATGGGGAGAATGGAACCAAGTTGGAAAACACTCTTCAGGATATTATCCAGGAGAACTTCCCCAACCTAGCAAGACAGGCCAACATTCAAATTCAGGAAATACAGAGAACACCAGAAAGAAAAAAATGTTAAGGGCAGCCAGAGAGAAAGGTCGGGTTACCTACAAAGGGGAGCCAATCAGACTAATAGCAGATCTCTCTGCAGAAACCCTACAAGCCACAAGAGAGTGGGAGCCAATATTCAACATTCTTAAAGAAAACAATTTTCAACCCAGAATTTTATATCCAGCCAAACTAAGCTTCATAAACAAAGGAGAAATAAAATCCTTTACAGACAAGCAAATGCTGAGAGATTTTGTCACTACTAGGCCTGCCTTACAAGAGCTCCTGAAGGAAGCACTAAATACGGAAAGGAAAAATTGGTACCAGCCACTGCAAAAACATACAAAATTATAAAGACCATTGACACTAAGCAAAAACTGCATCAACTAATGGGCAAAATAACCAGCTAGCATCATAATGACAGGATCAAATTCATACATAACAAATATTAGCCTTGAAAATAAACTTGCTAAATGTCCCAGTTAAAAGACACAGACTGGCAAATTGGATAAGGAGCCAAGACCCATTAGTGTGCTGTATTCAGGAGACACATCTCACGTGCAAAGACACACATAGGCTCAAAATAAAGGGACGGAGGAAGATATACCAAGCAAATGAAAAGCAAAAAGCAACAGAGGTTGCAATCCTAGTCGCTGATAAAATAGACTTTAAACTAACAAAGATCAAAAAAGACAAAGAAGGGCATTACGTAATGGTAAAGACATCAATGCAACAAGAAGAGCTAACTATCCTAAGTATATATGCACCTAATACAGGAGCACCCAGATTCATAAAGCAAGTTCTTAGAGACCTACAAAGAGACTTAGACTCCCACATAATAATAGTGGGAGACTTTAACACCCCAATGTCAATATTAGATCAATGAGCCAGAAAATTAACGATGATATTCAGGACTTGAACACAGCTCTGGACCAAGCAGAACTAATAGACATCTACAGAACTCTCCACTCTGAATCAACAGCATATCTATTCTTCTCACCACCACAATGCACTGATTCTAAAATTGACCACATAATTGGAAGTGAAACACTCCTCAGCAAATGCAAAATAATGGAAATCATAACAGTCTCTCAGACCACAGTGCAATCAAATTACAACTCATAATTTAAAAACTCACACAAAACTGCACAACTACATGGAAACTGAACAACCTGCTCCTGAATGACTACTGGATAAATAATGAAATTAAGACAGAAATAAATAAGTTCTTTGAAACGAATGAGAACAAAGACACAATGTACCAGAATCTCTGGAACAGCTAAAGCAGTGTTTAGAGGGAATTGTATAGCACTAAATGCCCACAGGAGAAAGTGGAAAAGATCTAAAATTGACACCCTAACATCACAATTAAAAGAACTAGAGAAGCAAGAGCAAACAAATTCAAAAGCTAGCAGAAGACAAATAACTAAGATCAGAGAAGAACTGAAGGAAATAGAGATACAAAAAACCCTTTAAAAATCAATGAATGCAGGAGCTTATTTTTGAAAAGATTAACAAAATAGATAGACTGTTAGAAAAATAAAGAAGAAAAGAGAGAAGAATCAAATAGACACAATAAAAAATGATAAAGGGGATATCACCACTGATCCCACAGAAATACAAACTAGCATCAGACAATACTATAAACAACTCTATGCAAATAAACTAGAAAATCTAGAAGAAATGGATAAATTTCTGGACACATACATGCTGCCACGACTAAACCAGGAAGAAGCTGAATCCCTAAATAGACCAATAACAAGTTCTGAAATTGTGGCAGTAATTAATAGCCTACCAACCAAAAAAAGCCCAGGACCAGAAGGGTCACAGCTGAATTCTACCAGAGGTACAAAGAGGAGCTGGTACTATTCTTTCTGAAACTATTCCAAACAATAGAGACTCCTCCCTAACTAATTTTATGAACATCATGTGAAAATCCTCAATAAAATACTGGCAAACTGAATCCAGCAGCACATCAAAAAGCTTATCCACCATGATCAAGTCAGCTTCATCCCTGGGATGCAAGGCTGGTTCAACATATGCAAATCAATTAACGTAATCCATCACATAAAACCAATGACAAAAACCACATGATTATCTCAATAGATGCAGAAAAGACCTTCGATAAAATTCAACACCCCTTCATGCTAAAAACTCTCGATAAACTTGGTATTGATGGAATAGATCTCAAAATAATGAGAGCTATTTATGACAAACCTATAGCCAATATCATATTGAATGGGCAAAATCTGGAAGCATTCTCTTTGAAAACTGGCACAAGACAAGGATGCCCTCTCTCACCACTCCTATTCAACATAGTATTAGAAATTCTGCCCAGGGCAATCAGGCAAGAGAAAGAAAGTGTATTCAAATAGGAAGAGAGGAAGTAAAATTGTCTCTGTTTGCAGATGACATGATTGTACATTTAGAAAACCCCATTGTCTCAGCCCCAAGTCTCCTTAAACTGATAAGCAACTTCAGCAAAGTGTCAGGATACAAAATCAATGTGTAAAAATCACAAGCATTCCTATACACCAATAATAGACAAACAGAAAGCCAAATCATGAGTGAACTCCCACTCACAGTTGCTACAAAGAGAATAAAATACCTAGAAATACAAGGTACAAGGGATGTGAAGGACCTCTTCAAGGAGAACTACAAATCACTGCTCAAGGAAATAAGAGAGGACACTAACAAATGGAAAAACATTCCATGCTCTTGGATAGGAAGAATCAATATCATGAAAATGGCCATACTGCCCAAAGTAGTTTATAGATTCAATGCTATCCCTTCAAGCTGCCATTGACTCTCTTCACAGAATTAGAAAAATCTACTTTAAATTTCATATGGAATCAAAAAAGAGTCATATAGCCAAGACAATCCTAAGCAAAAAGAACAAAGCTGGAGGCGTCATGCTACCTGACTTCAAATTATACTACGTGGCTACAGTAACCACAACAGCGTGGTACGGGTACCAAAACAGATATATAGACCAGTGGAACAGAACAGAGGCCTAAGAAATAATGCCATATATCTACAACCATCAGATCTTTGACAAACCTGACAAAAACAAGCAATGGGGAAAGGATTCCCTATTTAATAAATGGTGTTGAGAAAACTGGCTAGC